TGTTCCCCAAAATAAGACCTCCCGTACGTGCTTTTAATTTTTTATGACTTTCGGGGATGGTTAGATCGGGATTTGGAAGGGTTCGGGTTGGAATCGGAACACTTGGTTCCTTAAGGTTGGCTAAAAAGGCCAAGTTTGACTTCGGTCTACATTTCGAGCAAACGACCTCGGAATCAGTATTTGACGGTTCCAATGGGTTCGTATGATAATTTCGGACTGGGATTATGTTCGGATCGGGTTTTGGATGACCCGGGAGCGTTTTGGCTCCTAATAGTGGAAGTTGGTTCTTAGAAGGTTTTAGAAGTTCTTTAAATTTGATTTGGAGCGGATTTTGGTGATATCAAGATCCAAATGTGATTCAGAGACCGGGAATAGTTCCGTAATGTCATTTAAGACTTGCACGCAAAATTTGGTGTCATTCCAAGTAGTTTAAGTACGTTTCGACAAGCCAAAAAAACGCTCTCTTCTCTCTCCTCTCTCTTGCGATCAACTGCATGTCGGTGACTGCCCTTCATGGCCTCCACGGCCGGCGGCCAGCCTCTTCCTGAGATTGGTCCGTCGTCTCCCTCCCCCCTCAGCCATTTCCAACCTCTACAAACCCTAATCCACCTAAAACCTATGCGAATTTATTAAACCCTACTGTCATAAATACGCCCATGCAAACCCTAGCTACGTTACCATTGAAACCAGTTGAGTTCCTTCATGGAGAACCAATTGTGAAGTGGAAGAAACAAGAAGTGAAGCAATCCATCGTACAACAAGGGCTTCAACTTGTAGTTCTTGGGAAATTTTCATATGAAAAGCCTGTTATTGGTGAATTACGTAATGTGATTCCAATTTAATGTGAGATTAAGGGTCATTGTTCAGTTGGCTTGATTGAAGACAATCATGTGTTAATTAGGCTGTTTTTATTGGAGGATTATGTTCATCTTCTCTCAAAGCCAGCTTTTTATTTAAAGGCTCAATCAGACATGTGGCAGATGCATTGTACAAAATGGAATCCATGGTGGACACCTGATGAAGAGACTCCAATTGCCATAGCGTGGATTAGTTTTCCAAAACTTCCTCCAAATTTCTTTGGTAAGAAATGTGTATTTTCATTAGCTCGTGCAGTTGGTAATCCATTACATGTAGACCTACCAACTCAAAATGGGACTAGACCTAGTTGTGCTAAGGTAAAGGTGGAAGTGAATTTGCTAGGTAATTTCCCTAAACGTATTAAGATTGTTGAAGAAGCTGATGGATCTGGGCCAGAAGAGTTCAAATGGATTAGGATTAAGTATGATTATATGCCTAAATATTGCAAGCCTTGCAAGAAACAAGGGCACAGTGAGGCAAAATGTTGGGTAATTCATCCTGAGTTACACAAGAGATTTGACGAAGATGTTGAGGATCAAGGCAAGGAGAAGACAGTTGTGGTGATTACTGAAGCAATTGGTACAACTGCAAATTCAACAATGGTTCTATCAAGTGGAAAGGTGGTTAGTAAGCCTGCTACTAATCATGCCAAGTAGGAATGGATACAGGGAAGGAAGAATAAATACCAACGGGATAATAGGGGTCACATTGTTGATAATAAACAAAGTACGGAAGCTGATAAGGGTAATGGGAAGGCCAAACTTGAGGAGGTAGCAACCAAGAACAAGTTTAATGCATTAGAGGTTGAGGAAGTTCATCAACCTATTCTACAAATTACTGAAGGCAAAGGTGAGGATCATAGCAATGGTAAGGAGAAGGAACATGGGGAAAATCAATCAAAGAAGGGCTATGAGAAGGAAAAAGAAGGCACTACCGGAGCTTCAAGCCCTAATCCTACTAATACTAAACCAGCGGGAGAAAGTAATCAACAAGAACTTAAGCGTGTGAAGAAGGAAGCAGCGAAGAAAGTGTTGGAAGATCAGCATAATGGGAACTTAGCTAAGGCTAATCCTATTGTTCCTAGTGATCAAAGTACTGACGGAAAGGCTAATAAGGAATCCACAATCGACTGGGTTCATAAAAGGTTTGGAACTAGCAAAGAGGAGCTAAGGTAACTCAATGTGACTACAAACCAATCATGTCAAGGTATGTCGTCACAAACATTTGTAGATTCTGGACAGCTTGAGAACCTTGATGAGATAAACTCAACAAAGGCTGTAGGGAGTGATGCAATTGAGGTAGAGGATGATCAAATAGGAACGACCAAGACAACATGAGACAAAGTGAGGGACAACAGCCCACCTGGCGATAGGCTGGCGATGCCAGGCCTAAAGCCAGGTACCCCAGGCGTTAGGCTGGTGACGCCAGGCCTGGTGCTAGGGTCACCTGATGAAGCAACGATAGTTAATCCTTTCACTAGTGCAACTGGCAAGATTTTGGCATATGTAGATGGTGTTCCGGTGTATGCACTGGAGAACAAACTTGATGATAATGTGAAGGTTAGAGATGATACAGTAGGATCGGAGAATAACAGTGAAAAGAATGATGAGCACGCAATTGTTCCAAGAGCATCTGGGGAAATAGAGGAAGTGCCTATGGAATATGGAACTGATCAAATTATGCAGCTGCAGCTTAATGTTCCACTGAAGACTCCACTACAACATCTACATGATTTAGTTACACACAATGTGGCACCAATTGATGAAAACTTAATGAAACAAAATCCTATGGAGGATGAGGGAGATGATGAATCAACAGAAGAAAATTTCAAACAGGTGGCTAAGGATGGGGATCTATGACCTACAGCTAGTGCTAAAGGAGGCAAGAAAACAAAGAAGAATCAGAATAAAGAGTCACAACAACCTTTAAGAATTATGCCAGGAGGGCACCTTCTCTATCTAAATGATGATCAAGACATTAATTTGGAACATAAGGTCTGTGAATACACAGCAGGCCTTTCCTAGGGTGATCAACATGAATAGGGAGCATAACTTTTGTGTAGTTGCATTGATGGAACCTTTTCAAAAGAAGAGATTCATTGATAGATATAGAAGAAGGTTGAATATGGAGACGGCTTATGCAAATATTAATGGGCAAATATGATTGTTCTTTGATGCAGTGGTGGAATGGGAATTAGTGGAGGATACTGAGCAACAGGTGACTATGAGAGTGCTTCACCATGACCTAGGGTAGCACATGATGATGACATTTGTTTATGCAAAATGCTCAGCAATTGAGAGGTTGGAATTGTGGGATCACTTGTATTACTTAGCAAGTGATATGAAATTGCCATGGTTGGTAGGAGGGGATTTCAATGTGATATTACATGAAGATGAGAAAATAAGAGGACTACCGGTACACCCGCCTGAATATGAGGATTTTGCATTTTGTGTAAATTCTTGTGGTTTGTTCGAGCAAGGATACAAAGGAAGTCCATTTACATGGTGGAATGGGAGATCTAATGCTGCGTGTATATTCAAAAGATTGGATAGGATATTTGTGAATTTTCCATTTCAGAACATGTTGCCATCTATTAAAGTTGAACATTTAATCAGAACTGGATCAGATCATGCACCATTGTTAATGACATGTGGGGAGCAGACCACCAATTTTGTCAAGCCTTTCAGGTTCTTGAACTTTTGGACTAAACATACTACATTTATGGATGTGGTGAGGCAGAATTGAGAAGCTGATTTCATAGGGGATCCATTTTTTGATGTTCAAGCAGAAGCTCAAGAGGGTGAAGGCAGCACTATCAAAATGGAGTAGGGAAACATTTGGTGATATCTTCAAGCAATTGGCTATTTTGGAGGACATTGTTAGGGTAAAAGAGATGTTGTTTGAAGAAGAGCCTTCAATTGAAAACAGGATTGTGCTTCAAAAGACACAATCTGAATTAAAGAAATACTTGAGTATTGAGGAGCAGTATTGGAAGCAAAAAGTCGAGATGACTTGGTTTGCTGAAGGAGATGGGAATACAAGTTTCTTTCACAATCATGTCAATGGCAAAAGAAAGAAATTACAACTGAAGAGGATCAAAAGTGGAAGTGGGGTATGGATTGAAGACCATGAGCAATTGGCTACAGCTGCAGTGGACTTTTATCAAGATAGTTCACAAATAAAGGTGATGCATCTGACTTTTCCTTGCTCAATAATGTACCTTCAATGGTCACTATGGAACAGAATTTGGAACTTAGTAGATTGCCAATAATTGAAGAGGTAAGGACAACAGTTTTTGAGCTTAATGGGGAGAGTGCTAGTGGTCCAGATGGATTCACTGGCCTATTTTATCAAACATGTTGGGATGTTATTGGTGCTGATATACACAACATGGTGCTACACTTCTATGGAGGAGCTGCACTGCCTAAATCCATCACTCACACCAATCTAGTGTTGTTGCCTAAGAAACCTAGAGTTGAGACCTTTTCTGACTTAAGACCTATTAGCTTGAGCAACTTCATTAATAAGGTCTTGTTTAGAGTGTTACATGATAGATTGGAATTTTTTTGCCTTCTCTAATATCTCCTAATCAATCCGGATTTGTGAAGGGTAGGAGTATATCTGAGAACATCTTATTGACTCAAGAAATTATCACTGACATAAGGTTAAGGGGAAAGCCAGCTAATGTGGTGATTAACCTTGATATTGCTAAGGCTTATGATAGGGTTTCATGGAAGTACTTATTGCATGTACTAAGGAAGATGGGATTTTCTGAGCACTTCATCAACATGGTGTAGAACTTGATGTCAAATAAGTAGTATTCAGTATTGGTGAATGGGCAGTCATCAGGGTTCTTTAAGTCTACAAGGGGTGTGAAGCAAGGGGATCCTCTATCACCAGCATTGTTCATTCTGTCAGCTGAGGTACTTTCCAGATCTTTGAATAAGCTATTTGAAGATAGGTCATTTGTGGGATTTAGAATGCCTACGTGGTCTGATCCTTTAAACCACTTGGCATATGCTGATGATACTATAATCTTTGCTTCTGCTCATCCTCCATCCTTGAGCAAGATTATGGCAGCGTTGGGGAACTATGAGAAGATATCAGGCTAGATGATCAACAAAGATAAGAGTTCATACTACATGTATTCCAGTATTTCTAATGGATTGTGTCAGGCGGTTGGAGCTATTACAGGATTTGCAAAAGGTAAATTTCCTTTCACATATCTAGGGTGTCCTGTTTTCTACACTAGAAGGAGGAAGGAATATTATGAAGATCTTATCAAGAAAGTAAAGGCTAAATTGCATTCATGGAAAGAAAAGTTGTTGTCATTTGGAGGAAAGGCAACACTCATTACTAGTGTGTTGCAAAGTATGCCAGTCCACATGTTATCAGTCCTACATCCTCCAAAAAATGTCCTGGAGCATCTTCTTAAGATTTTTGCTAGATTCTTTTGGAGCACAAAGGAAGAAGGGAGAAGCAGACATTGGGCCTCATGGCAAAATCTTTGCCTTCCTAAAGAGGAAGGAGGTCTAGGTTTTAGGTCCTTACATGATGTGTCGAGGGCATTGTTTGCTAAACTATGGTGGAGGTTTAGGACCACAATATCTTTGTGGTCTAATTTCATGTGGAATAAGTATTGCAAGAAGGAGATACCAACAGTGGTGCAGTTTAGAAGCGGGTCTAATGTTTGGAGAAAATGCTGAATGCTAGGGAAGAAGTAGAACATGAGATCCTATGGAATTGAAGAGTGGAACAACTAATATTTGGCATGAAAACTAGACTAGATTGGGTGAACTTTATCATGTATTACCTGAGGACTTTCCAATCAATGAAGATCTTCAGGACGTGGCAAAATTACGGCAAGGTGAAACATGGGATGATCAGCTGCTAGATCAAACCTTCAATGAGGAAATTGAAGAACATATAAGGCTAAATGTACATTATGAAGGCAGTGAGGGATACTGGGATAGGCCATACTGGATGCCAACTCCTTCAAGCAAGTTCAGTGTTAGCAGTGCTTGGCAAATATTAAGGCATAGAGCTGATCCTAATCAGGAATTCAAGTTAATGTGGATTAAAGGCTTACTATTTAAGATATCCTTCTTCTTGTGGAGATTGTGGAGGAAGAAAATAGCCACTGATGACATATGGAGGAGGCAAGGGCAAATGGTGATGTCTAGGTGTTGGTGTTGTCAGCAGCCCCAGGAGGAATCTATTGAGCATATATTTATCACAAGTTCTACTGCCTCTAAAGTATGGAACTTGTTCATGGGGGTTGCTGGAATTACTGTGCCACTGATTCAATTGAAGCAGGTTATAATGTATTGGCGGTATGCTCAATGTTGTCCAAAGCTAAAGCCATTGTTTCAAGCAGTACCGGCTATCAACACTTGGGAACTTTGGAAGAGAAGAAATGCAGGTAAACATAGGGGTTCTGTGAGGCCCCGTAAAATTTTTGGCTCAAAACCTAGTATCTTGTGGTGTCAACTCCGAATATGTGTTAGGAATGCGTAGAATTCTTCGCGGCTCGCAAGCTTGCCGCGGTTCGGACCCTTGCTATTGATCTAAGCTTGAAAAAAATCAAATGAATCAATTTCCCAGAAAAATGCCATCATGCGGTCAAGAATGCGGTCGCAGATCTGGTATGCGGACCGCATTCCTACCGCATAGTGAAGCTATGGTTTGGTTAAACTTGAGGTCAAGATGCGGTCCAAAATGCAACCGCATAATTGATATGCGGACCGCATTTCTACCGCAGAGTGGAACAGAAGAGTTGTCAAAATTAATGTTGAAAATGCGGTCTATTATGCGATCGCATAGCCAATATGCGGACCGCATAATCGTCGCATAAGTCCTCAAGGATTTGTGAAGGTCAGTTCTGCGGTGCACAATGCGACCGCATAACAGGAATGCGGACCACATTCCTGTCGCAGACCCAAACAGAATCATCGGAGTTTTGGGGGCAATTCTGCGGTCCAATTTGCGGACCGCATTTCAGTTTTGCGATCGCAGAATGCGACCGCAGATCTTGCTCGGGCTTCTATTTTCTAAACTTTATACCCGACCCCCTTTTTAATAAAGCACCCCCAGCCCCTCATTTTTAACGACCTTCTGCACAAAATAAGAGAGAGGAAGAGAGGGTCTTGAGAGAGAAAGTCATCTTCTCCAAAATTTGATTCTTCAAAACCATCCGGGCCGGGAAATTTCAAGCTTATCTTCATCCCCCTTTTCTTGCAGGTAACATCCCTAACCTTTTTCACTAAAATTCTGGTTTAAACTAGGGGGGGGGGGAGTCTCATGCATTGGTCTTTGAAAATAGTGGTTGAACTCATACATGCATGTCATTCTATAACCTAAAACCTAGTGAGAGCAATTGGGTAGGAGTAAAAGATGGATCAAAGATGGGTTGATGCCCTAAATAAGTTTAAGTAGAAATTGTGAACTTCTTTTCTAAGTCATACGCGTTAACTTGTGCACTAGATTGACATTGCTAGACCATTTGGTGAATTGGAAATAGAAGTTAAAACAGAACTCGGCTCCAGGTATATATGGCTAACTTTGAACATGTAAAGTCGCCTTGTTTGGGTGTTTGAGTGCTTGGTATGTGATTTCTACGTGATTTGTTTGTGAAATTCGTGTGATGGGTATGGTTGGGTGATTGTGGTTGTGCCTTCGCTATATTGATGTAAGTAATTAGAAATAAACCAAGTTTACGATTGTGAATGTGCTATGTGGTAAGAACTGTGAAACAAGTAATGGAAGGAAATGGGAATTGCTGTGATCGGAATAACCATGGTAGTAACATATTTGGCTTGTTGTGGGTAATTATTGTGGTGACTTAAATTGCATATGAGTCGTTGAATATGATGAAATGGTATTTGATGGCTATGGAAGTTCATGTAAATTGTTGTTGTTGTTCCTTGAGGGTCATTGTTGTTGTTTCTTGAGGATTGTTGTTGTTATTCTTTGTGAATTGTTGTTGTTGTTGTGTTGTTTCTGAATTGTGATTGTTCGGTGGGATCGGGTTGCGCGCCGCAACACGAAGAAATAAGGCGTGGGTTGTGGTGATAAGGGTGGCCGAGGTAATAAGGGTGGCCGAGGTAATAAGGTTGGAAAGCGATCGAAATCGCTATTGAAATGAACTATGAACAAATTGTGAAATTATTGATGTGGAAATGTGGAAGGGGAAAGGAGAGATTGTAAACTTGTTGAATTGCTCTTTCTTCGTGGATTTGATTGTTATTTCCATTACAATTACATGCTTGTTTATGGAGGAGAGATTATATACCTGGTGGCTTAATTGTTCCCTCCTTGTGGACTTGATTGTCACTTTTATTACTGCTACTTACTTGCTTATGGTTCGAGTTTACTTGGAGCAAAGTTTGTTCATACATACCAGTACAATTCAAATGTACTGACGTCCCTTTTGCCGGGGGCGCTACATTCGTGTTATGATTGTAGGTGGATCCGTAGCAGGTACTCCAGTCCACCGATCGTAGCTCCCCTTTGTCATCCATCAGCTTTTTGGTGAGCCCCTTTCCTCTCGGGGCCCTGCGTGGCTCAGGCCACATTGTTTTCCAGAGTTTTAGTTGATTTTGTGTAAGGTATAGCCGGAGCCTTGTTACAGGCAAATACTGTATTATCCTATTGTACTATTAGAGGCTCCGTAGACAGTAGATGTGGGTTAGAAACTTGTGTAGATCCGTGTTTTCATACATTGGTAACGAGTTGGTGATTTCATTACTATTATGTAAGTATGTATGTGTTTTGTAAATTAAAAAGTGTTCTTAATTAATTATTTGGCAAATTCTTGGAATAATTGAGTAAGGAAAACGTGGGGTAACATGTGGGTTAGGAAAGGCATCCAGGTTCGCTTGGCTGGGGCTACCCGGTCAGGCACCGGTCATTTCCCTCGAATTTGGGGTGTCACAAACTTGGTATCAGAGCCTAAGGTTTTAAGGAGTCCTAGGATGTCCCGGAGCCGTGTCTAGTAGAGCCCTACTTATCGGTGTGAAGTCGACCACATCTATAAGTGGGGGGCTACATGGACATTTAGGAAATTTCCCACTTCCTTGTTATTCTGTATCGTGCGGTGAAGTGAAATGTGAAAGTATCTATATCTAACTCGTGCGTTGTTCCGAACTTTTTCAGTAATAGCACCTAAGAAGAGAGCTAGACTCGGCCTTGGGGCCAATGCCACCCCGAGTGAGGCATGTACCTGATACCGTGGGTGAGAGTGACTCCCCAGCCTTGAACCTACCTGGCCCGTCTATCCCAGACCAGCATGTTCCTGGTCCTGTAGCGGCAGAGGATGCCACCATCCCTCCCGCCGATATTCCTGAATCTGGCACCATTCCAGCTCCTGGTCCCGAGGTTTCTGATGTGGACCTTAGGGGAGCCATCCGCATGTTAACCCAGTTAGTGGCCGCTCAGGCCAGAGATCTCAGGATGCCCCTACATCCTCTAGCGGACAGGGAGATTCTACCAGCTCCAGAGTTAACCAGTTTTTGCGGTTGGCCCCTCCAGAGTTCTCAGGCACAGACCCAGAGGCCGATCCGCAGGAATTTCTTGATGAAATGTATAAGACCCTCCGGGTGATGAAAGCTTCAGAGACAGAGGGAGTTGAATTGGCATCATACAGGTTGAGGGGAGCAGCGTATTCATGGTTTGAGATGTGGGAGGACTCCCGTGGGGAGGGAGGACCTCCGGCCAGATGGGATGAGTTTGTAGATGCGTTTATGGACCAGTTCTTGCCTGTTGAGACAATAGCAACCCATGCCACGGAGTTTGAGACCCTCAAGCAGGGTAGTATGAGTGTTTGGGAGTACCACATGGAGTTCGTGAGATTGTCCAAGTATGCTCCACAGTTAGTGTCGACCATGGCAGCTAGAGTTCGGCGATTTGTTCAGGGCCTTAGTCCCTTGGTAGTAAATGAGGCTGCTACAGCGGCCTTACACTCGGATATGAACTATGGAAAGATTGTGGGATTCGCTCAGGCCACAGAGGCTAGGAAGTTGAAGATTCGGGCGGAAAGGGAGAATAGCAACAGGGCCCGATCAGCAGGTCACTCAAGGAGATCAGCTCAGGGGAGAGGGTCGTCAGGGCCGTCTCAGTCATATGCTCAGTCCTCAGCGAGCGCACCATCATCTCTGCACAGTTATCAGCAGAACAGCCGCATGAGACCAGGCTCAGACAGTAGGAGACGCCATCAGTCTGGTCGTTCAGGAGGGAGACCACAGCAGCAGGGGAGGGCTCCATGCCCCAAGTGTGGGAGATTTCATACAGAGACTTGCTACTTGGATATCCCGGTGTGTTTCAGATGCGGGGTGAGAGGTCATATTCAGCGAGACTGTCGTGCCCCCAGTTAGGGCATGGGTATGCGATCTGCTTAGTCGTCTGGTTCTTCAGTCGCCACATCATCTGGGCGTCCTCTAGCCCCAGCAGGATGTGGTACAGTTAGGGGTGGAGCTCGTGGTAGAGGTGGACCCAGCCGGTTCTATGCTTTGAGTGGTCGTTAGAGTGCAGAGGCTTCTCCAGATGTGGTTACAGGTATCTTGTCTGTTCAAGCCATTGATTGTTATGCTCTTATTGACCCGGGGTCCTCTTTGTCTTATGTTACCCCATTCATTGCTTCAAGCTTTGGGATAGAACCCGAACAGCTTCATGAGCCGTTCTCTGTATCGACTCCGGTTGGTGATTCTATTACAGCCACGCGGGTTTATAGGAATTGTGTTGTCACGGTATGTGGTCGCGTTACCACGGCCGATCTTATCGAGCTTGGAATGGTGGATTTTTGATGTGATTATGGGGATGGACTGGCTTTATACGTGCTTTGCTAAACTTGACTGCCGAACGAGAGTCATGAGACTCGAGTTCCCTAATGAGCCGATTATCGAGTGGAAAGGGAATGATGTGGTGCCGAAGGGTAGGTCTATTTCCTACCTTAAGGCTTCAAAGATGATTAAGAAGGGATGTATCTATCATTTGGTCCGGGTGGCGGACACCACTTCAGAAGTGTCTACCCCCGAGTCCGTGCCAGTCGTGAATGAGTTTCTCGAAGTGTTTCCGGACGAGCTTCCAGGGATTCCGCCAGATAGGGAGATTGATTTCGGGATTGATGTATTGCCAGATACGCAGCCAATATCTATTCCACCATACAGAATGGCTCCAGCGGAGTTAAGGGAGTTAAAGGAGCAGCTGAAGGATTTATTAGAAAAGGGGTTCATACGGACGAGTGTGTCGCCGTGGGGTGCTCCGGTTCTCTTTGTCAGGAAGAAGGATGGGTCGCTCCGGATGTGTATTGATTATCGGCAGCTCAACAAAGTCACCATCAAGAATAAGTATCCTCTGCCTCGAATAGATGATTTGTTCGACCAATTGCAAGGTGCAAGGTTCTTCTCCAAAATTGATCTACGGTCCGGGTATCACCAATTGAAGATTAGGGAGCAGGATATTCCCAAGACCGCTTTCAGAACTCGCTATGGTCACTTTGAATTCTTGGTCATGTCTTTTGGGCTAACCAACGCCCCGGCAGCCTTTATGGATCTTATGAATCGTGTCTTCAAGCCATTTCTAGACTCCTTCGTGATTGTTTTTATTGACGACATCCTTGTTTATTCGCGGAGCCGGGAGGATCATGCCGGTCACCTCAGGGCAGTTCTGCAGACTCTTCATCAGCACCAGTTGTATGCTAAATTTTCAAAATGTGAGTTTTGGTTGGAGTCCGTTGCCTTTTTGGGTCACGTTGTTTCTAGTGAAGGGATTCGGGTAGACCCCCAGAAGATTGCAGCAGTAAAAGATTGGCCGAGACCCACGACCCCGACGGAGATTTGTAGCTTCTTGGGTTTAGCAGGGTATTATCGGAGGTTTGTGGAGGGATTCTCTGC